CTCAACAGTTTTATCATTTATATGTTAATCTTGCCAGTAGCAGTTATTACCTGAAGTGTTCTAATGGGAATTTTCTGTTTTTCTCGTTCTTTCTACTTTAACTAGCATTTTTCTATAAAAAGGGTGTCTTATATCCTATAAATAAGTTCTCAAGAGTTATTTATTCAGTTGTCAGTCACATCAGTATGAACTCATGGATGTTTTAAACATTTTTTGAGTTATAATCTAACACTATCATAATTTGTTACTCCAGATTTTTTAGCTGTGGCCATTGGGAGCTCTTTCAGGTTGGCTCTTATGTCCTTTGGACTTCAGGCTAGTTTTTAAAATGTTTTTCTGGCCTACTTTTCCTGTAGGATGTTTTCTGTTCGCTATTTTCTTGTTTTCCCCATATATATAGCATTTTTTTGTGTGTGAAATTAGTTTTTCTGAACATTTAGAAGGCATGGTTAAGCATAGTATTTCCAACAGAGAGCTTCCTTATCTGTTGTTTTCAGGTAGTATTTACAAATATGGTAGTTTATTGTTAAGATTTCCTGGCTTTGTTATCTTCTCCTTTTTTCCTCTTCGTCTCTATTGTACTTGTCTTGTAAACTTTTGATTTTGTTCACACCACTTTCTCCTCAGTTGGGAGTCCTGTCCTAGCTGTTTGGTTTCAAGAGTCCATAGAGGCTTGAATTCCTTCTCCATAGACCTTAGGTAGGCCTCTTCCACTCACCTTTTCTGCTCACTAAAACCTCATCTGTTTTCAAATACAGTCCTTGGATTGTTTCCCTGTGTTTTCTAGTGAACACCTGTTGGCTCTTTTGTTGTTTGTCTGCTCTTAGATCCATTAGCTAGCCTGTTCCTTCTACTTAGGCTTTTACTGAAGCTGAAACTATAGAAATCTTACAGATGTTACTGGTTTGTCCCCAGCCACTTAGAAGTTAGAGTTCTTGGAGATAACTAAATTATGCCAAGTTTTGTTATAAATGTCCATAGTACTTTGGTTTTCCTTTTTAATTGCACTTTTTAAAAAAAGTTATATTTTATTGGTTATGCTATTACAGTTGTCCTTGTTTTTCCTCCTATGCCCCCCTTCACCCAGCACCCCCACTCCCTCAAGCAGTTCCCACACCATTGTCCTTGCCCATGGGTCATGTGTATAAGTTCTTTGGCTACTCCATTTCCTGTGCTGTACTTTACACCCCCATGGCTATTCTGTAACTACCTATCTGAACTTCTTAATCCCTGCACCTCTTCACTTTTTCCCCTACCCCTGCCTCCCATCTGGCAACCATCACAGTACTCTCTGTATCCATGCTTCTGTCTGTTTTTCTTGTTTGCTTAGTCTGTTTTTTAGATTCAATTGTTGATAGATACGTATTTTTGCCATTTTATTTTTCATAGTTTTGATCTTCTCTTTTTCTTTTTGACCTTTTTCTTAAATAAGTTCTTTTAACATTTCATATAATAATTGTTTGGTGATGATAAACTCCTTTCTTCCCTCAGAAGCTCTTTATCTGCTCTTCAATTCTAAATGATAGCTTTGCTGGATAGAGCAACCTTGGCTGCGGGTCTCTGCTTTTCATGACTTTGAATATGTCTTGCCAATCCCTAGTATCCTGCAAAGTTTCTTTTAAGAAATCAGCTGATAGTCTTTTGAGCACTCCTTTGTAGGTAATTATCTCCTTTTCTCTTGCTGCTTTTTAAGATTCTCTCTTTATCTTTAACCTTTGGCATTTTAATTATCATGTGTCTTGGAGTGGGCCTTTTTGCATCCATCTTGTTTGGGACACTCTACTTCCTGGACTTGCATGTCTGTTTCCTTACCAAATTAGGGAAGTTTTCTTTCATTATTTTTTCAAATAGATGTCCAATTTCTTGCTCTTCGTCTTCTCCTCTGGCACCCCCATGCTATGAATGTTGGACCTCTCGAAATTGTCCCAGGGCTGCTTATATTATCCTCATATTTTGGGGTTATTTTTTCTTCTTCTTGTTTCTTCCTTATGTTCCAAACCATTGATTTAATTCTCCGCTTCACCCACTCTGCTGTTGTTTCCCTGTAAATTGTTCTTATTTCAATTAGCGTCTCCTTAATTTCTGACTGGATCTTTTTTATGCTGTTGAGGTCCTCACTAAGTTTCTTGAGCATCCTCATAACCATTGTTTTGAACTGTGCATCTGATAGATCGCTTGTCTCCATTTCATTTAGTTCTTTCCCTGGAATTTTGATCTGTCCTTTCATTTGGGCCATGTTTCTTTGTCTCCTTGTTTTGGCAGCCTCCCTGTGTTTGTTTCTATGTATTAGGTGGAGGTGCTTTGACTCTGTGTCTTGGTAATATTGCCTAATATAGTAGGTGTCCTGCAGAGTCCAGGGGCACAGCCTACCCTATCACCCAAGCTGGGTACTTGAGATGTGCTCTTCATATGGTCTGAGTACACTCTCCTCTTGTAGTTGAGCCTTGGTTGCTTTGGGCAGATAAATGGGAGGGATTTATCCAGGCCAATCAGCTGCAAGGATTGGCTGTGACCACTGATGACCAACGTCCGCCCTCCATGGAGGACCAGCTGTGCAGGGGCAGGGTGGTGGTGCTCTGACATGGTCTGTAGCTCTCCACTGGGTGTACTGGCCCTGGGGTTTCCCAAGTGGTGCAGGCCAAGGTCAGCCCCCACCGGTGTTTTGCCCAGGGCCGCCTTGCCTGAGTTATAAAGGAATCTAAGAGGGCTGCTATTTGTGCTGGGTTTGGAGTTTCCCAGGCGAAGTCAAGCTGTGAATCTAGGCTGGATACTGCTAGTGCCAGGGCTGGGACTCACTGAGGCCAGCTGTTGCTTGTTTCATGGGATTTAGGAAGTTGTGAAGCATGAGCTAAGAACAGCCATTCATATGGAAAAGCAACTTCAGTGGGCTCCTAAGCTGGGAGGGGTGGAGTCTCTGGGGACCTCCAATCCTCTGGGGACCTCCAGTGTGGGTCAGTCAGTGTTAGCCAGGTTGATGGAGTCACAGATACGGCACCAGATTGCTGGGTCCAAGGCTCAGCCTGGATGAATGTGGTTTCTTTAATTCCGTAGTTATCAGACTGTCATTCAGCTTGATTTCTGACAGTTCTGAGTGATGGCTGTTCTATATTTTAGTTGTAATTTTGATGTGGTTGTGCGAAGAGGCAAGCCATGTCTGCCTATGCTGCCATCTTGACTGGAAGTCGGCTCTTTTTTATGAGGGAATTTATAGGATTCCAAGGCTTCGTAGAATCTTTGTGCTATTATTTTTTAAAATATCAGTTTGAGCCCTGACCAGTGTGGCTCAGTTGGTTGGGGTCATCCTGCAAAGCACAAGGTCACCAGTTCCCGGTCAGGGCACATGCCTGGTTTGCAGGCTGTCCCAGTTGGAGGCGTGTGAGAGGCAACTGATCTATGTTTTGCTTCCTCTCTTTTCTACCTTCCCTCTCTCCCTAAAAATAAATAAATAAAATTAAAAAAAAAATCCGTTTGAGCAAAATATGTTTTGATGGCCTGTTAAGTAACAGATGTGATTAGATTACTGGTTGAACAGTGAATAACGACAAACTGTGGCTGGACGCTGACCAGTGTGGCTCAGTTGGGAGCATTGTCCCACAACGTGGAAGGTCTCCAGATCCGTTCCTGGTCGGAGCACATGCCTGGGTTGCGGGTTTGGTCCCTGGTCCAGGTGCCTAGAGAGGCAACCGATTGATATTTCTCTCCCTTTCTTTCTCCCTCCCTTCTCCTCTCTCTAAAAAATAAATAAAGTCTTGGGGGGAAAGTTAAAAACCATGGGCTGGAAGATTTATGTAACATACTGGGGCACAAATTCCAAAAAAAGGTAATAAAACATATTTAGAAAAAAATTAATGTTTCATGCTTACAGTATATTCCACCAACTTACTGATTTAAAGCTAAGTTTTATTTCAGTAAACCTGTGGTGAATTTCAAGGTCTCTATTTTCAGTTTACTTTGGGAACTTGTACAGGCCATTTATTCTACCTTTTTCTCTTCCTTGATTTCCTGTTTACCTTTGGAAAGATCTTGAAGATTCACTAATGCATTACTCTGTGCAGTGCTCTATCTTGATAAAAAATTGACTAGGTAAATCTACGTGATCTCTCTTCACAGTTGGCTCTATTCCTCAACTGAGATTGAAAATTTTTTTCAATCCATCATTGCTAGTCCATTTTAGCCCTCTCCGATGAAGAGGCAGTTTGGTGTAGAATTGCTTTAGAATTTATCAGTTGTTACTTAGTTGCCTGTTGTGTATTGCTCAATTTATTTTCAAAGTTATCTTTCAAAATAGACTGACTCCCTTTTATAACTATGATTAGCTGTTAGAGACCAAATTCTTTGCTTTTGTTCTATTTATTATTTCTATAGATAAATTTTCTCTTGTGAAAATGATTTTAGTAGCACGTATGGCACTTTGCCAAATAGAAATACATAAAAAAAAATTCAATTATGTGAGGTATTCACTTGGGGTGAGATAGTTTTTTTTCTGAGGTTTTATTCAGGAACTAAAGATTGAAATGTATGCCTATTGAGACCAATATGAAATATAGTCTCCTGCTTATTGATATATTAAAATAGTTTCCATACTCAATTCTCAGAGTGAACAAAGCTTATTTATTTTTAAGTGGAAAAGAGGAGAAACATCCAACCTGTAGATTAGTGTTGGAAAGTTATACAGTGACGTTTTAGTTTTAGTAGACTTTCCGGACATTTTTCTTCATACTCTTCCCCCATACAAAGAGTGATTCTAATCAGCTTTATTGATTCAATTGATAACTCTCATGCTTCCTAGAATAAGTCAGAAGATTTCAAGTAATATTTTGTTGAACAGGGCCTATAAATACAGAATTTGAAGTAGTGGCTGAATTATTGGGTAATTTTGCTTGTCAAATTTTTCTTTCATTATACTTTTGTCTGAATATGGTTTATATGTATTGAGGTTGACTGATAACTAAAATTTAGAAAAGAAGTCTTTTAATACATTTTGTTTGATCTGCTTTCAGGTTCATGCATGGGAGATTTCAGACCAATTGTTACAGATTCGACAGGATGTAGAATCATGCTATTTTGCTGCCCAGACCATGAAAATGAAGATTCAGACCTCATTTTATGAGCTCCCCACAGACTCTCATGCCTCGTTACGGGACTCATTACTAACCCATATCCAGAACTTGAAAGACTTGTCACCTGTCATTGTAACGCAGGTAAATCCTATGCTTCTCACTAGGGAAATTTGTTAAGACCACTTGGATATCAAGTTAATTTTGATTGACATTGCTGGGCCATGTGAAGTAATATTAACAATTTTATTATGCACTAATTGTTATATTCCTCTAAGTGAATAGAAAGTGAAAATTTAAATCTTTTGTATTAATCCTAGAGTTCATTTGATTTCAAACTAACTTACATACTGGAAGTGGGGAAGGTGAATATAGGTTTTCACAGGCAACCGTATATACAACACATACCCCCCTGCCCCCTCTGTTAAAATTGCAGATGATAAAAACACTGTACTCTTATGGGCCAGAGGTCTACATAATTGCCTTTAAAAAAAATCTTTTCTGGACTGATTGGCTAATAAAAATATCATGAATGAAACGGTGAACTAGAGCATCTGGCCTTTCCCCCCTTAGACAGGGAAATAATGTTAGAAAGGGAAACTGGAAGCATCAGTGAATACGTAGTCACATGTGTTCTCTGCCTGGCATAGAAGTGCCCTTGAAGAGGAAGGAGGCTTTTGCATAAGGCTTCAAGGAAAGAGAAGGTTCATGGCAATCCATTACTTGAGGAGTGAGTCAATGGGCTGACTTTGTCCATAGCTTTGGCCTTCTGGCAAAGTGTAATTTATCTGTCCATGAAGTTTTATGGTATTGCCAAATAAAAGTAAGTATTGATATATTCTGAGGAAAATCTATAGTCTGTTTTTTTTCTTCTTTTTTTTGTTTTCTTGGTTTTCATTTTTAAAGGTTAGCTTTTAAATCCCAGAAATGTGTAGCTAGCCTGTAAGAGTTTATATGATACAGATAGTTGAAGGGGTCAGGGGAGATCGGGGTGTGTCAGTCTTGTCATATTGTTTGGAAGAAACGTAGTTTATTTGCTTTTCAATTAATATTGATGATAACCCTATTCTGCTCACCTGTCCTATTCATTTATTTAATTTCTCTTCTTATTTAGCTGGCTTTAGCAATAGCAGACCTTGCCCTACAGATGCCTTCCTGGAAGGGGTGTGTACAAACATTGGTAGAAAAGTAAGTAATTTGCATTGACTGTATGCTGGCATTTGGTATTACTGTTAACCTACACAGAGAAGTTTGTTAGCAGTAGCTAGACATTTGAACCATTTCCCCAAACTCTTAACGTGGAATTCATTATTAACCTTTGTCAGGTAAAAGAAAACCATTTAAAATTTAAATACTACAGAATTATGTCATTTGGAACATAAAAGACCCTCATAGCCCTGGCTGCTGTGGCTTTGTGGATTGAGCACTGGCCTGGGAACGGAATGGTTGACTGTTTGCTTCCAGTCAGGGCACGTGCCTCAGTTGCCAGCTGGGTCCCTGGTTGGTGGCATGTGAGAGGCAATCATCTTTCGCACATTGACATTTCTCTCTCTCTCTCTTTCTCCCTCCCTTGTCCTCTCTCTAAAAGTAAATAAAATCTTTAAAAAGAAAAGAAAAAAGACTCATAATTTACATGTATGCATGTATCACTTAACTGCAACAAAGTCTTTGATTGCCTTGTGAATCACCCCCACTGATGTATCAAGCAATTCTATAAAAAATTTGAGAATGTTTAACATGATATTAAATTGTAAATTATTATGAGTGTACGTTCTTACTAACTGAGATGTGTATCATGTCTGTCAAAGGGGCAATATTATTTTTAGACACTTGGAACCTGCTACTGTAAATAAAGCATTTCCTTATGGCCTCGGCAAGATAATCTTGATACTTGTTTGCATTTTCATACTTTGTCAGGAAATTATTTTTTAACAAAGTGGATGTCTTTTTTACCTCCAACCGTAGTATGTCATTGAAGACCTTATATGGATAATTTATTTTTTTATTTCAAAGTAAAAAGTAAACACCTTTCTTTCTACTTATTCCTATGCTTCATAATAACCACTACTAATGATTGGCTATATATCCCTCTGGACTTTCCTTTAAGCATTTTAAAATAAGTGCATACATATTTTAATTTTAATACTCACCTGAGAATATGTTCATTGATTTTAGAGAGGGAGGAAGGGAAGGGGAGAGAGAGACATTGATTGATTGTCTCCCGCACGCACCCTGACCAGGGATTAAACCCCTAACCCGCCAACCAACTGAGCAGCCTGGCCAGAGTGTGCATACATGGTTAAATATATATATGCTTATATATGTATTTATTCACTCATATGTAATATGTTTCATATACTTTTTATACTTAATGCATTGTGGATCTTTTCCTGTTAGACATAGATAGGTATCTCATAATGGCTGTGCATGTGTAAACTTTTTTTTTTTTTTAAGATTTTATTTATTTTTATACAGAGGGGAAGGGAGAGGGGAGGGAGGGAGAAGGAGAGGGAGAGAAACATCAGTGTGTGGTTGTCTCTCATGTGCCCACTGCTGGGGACCTGGCCCACAACCCAGGCATGTACCCTGACTAAAAATTGAACCAGCCTACACTTTGGTTCATGGGCTGATGCTCCACTGTGCCACACCAGCCAGGGCTATCTGTAACCTTTTTATTCCTGTTTAATTTTGAAGGATCTTTATATTTTCCCAATATTTTTGCTATTATAAAAACGTACTGTAGTGCATATCTTTGTATGTACCTATGAGATTTTTCTAAGAAATAAATTTCTGGAAGTGGAGTTGCTTGGTCAAAGATTATGCAAGTTAAATTTTTGATTTTTAGCTACCCTTTAAAAATTTATCTATTTTTTTTCTCTTTAATAGTGAGAATGCTACTTTTGTTGTCATAGGTTATTCGTACGGCTGTTGTTATATGATTGTGTTTTTTCTGACTTAAGCAGTAACTTATGTCTCTCCTTTTCTTTTCTAGGTATAGCAATGATGTAACTTCTCTGCCTTTTCTGCTGGAGATCCTTACAGTGTTACCTGAAGAAGTGCACAGTCGTTCCTTACGAATTGGAGCTAACCGGCGCACAGAAATTATAGAAGATTTGGCCTTCTACTCTAGTACAGTGGTATCTCTGTTGGTGAGTAGGTTTGGAATACTAACTGCCTGTGGACAAAAACCATGGTGTTTATTTTGTAACTTAGTTTCATGATTGTGAATTAGCTTTCTTTGCAAAATTTCTTTGCCTTGCTAGTTTAATTGTAGCTTGCAAATAGTATTTTATTAATTGTATAATTCATTCGACTATGTATTGGTTGGCAGTCTTCTGAGTTTCTATGAGAAAGTCAAGATGTCTTAATTCTTTTTTAATTTTATGTTTTCAAAATAAGGATTTGTTTTAAAGCCATCTCAAATATTACTGTTTTGGTTTTTTTCCCCTGGCTTCCTCTTTATGAAGTATTATGGACTCATGGATTTTCTTTTTTCTTTGTTTTTTAAAATACATTTTATTGATTATGCTATTACAGTTGTCCGGATTTATTCCCTTTGCCCCATTCTGCCTGGTACCACCCCATCCCCGTAGTTCATGTCCATGGATTGTGCATGTAAGTTCTTCGGCTTCTCCATTTCCTATTCTATTCTTGACATTTCCCCTATTTTGTACCTACCAATTATGCTTCTTAATCCCTGACCTTTTCTCCCATTCTCCCGTTTTCCCTTCCCAGCAAATAACCCTCCAAATGATATCCATATCTATGATTCTGTACCTGTTCTGGTTGTTTGCTTAGTTTGTTTTTTTTATATTCAGTTGTTGATAATTGTGCTTCGTTGCCATTTTAATGTTCATAGTTTTGATCATCATCTTTTTCTTATAAGTCCTTTTAACATTTCATGTAATAATAGCTTGGTGATGATGAACTCCTTTAGCTTTACCTTGTCTGGGAAGCACTTTATCTACCCTTCCATTTTAAATGATAGCTTTGCTATATACAGTAATCTTGGTTGTAGGTCCTTGCTTTTCATCACTTTGAATACTTCTTGTCAGTCCCTTCTAGCCTGCAAAGTTTCTTTTGAGAAATCAGCTGACATTCTTATGGAAACCGCTTTGTAGGTAATCATCTGCTTTTCTCTTGCTCCTTTAAGATTCTCTCTTTATCTTCAACCTTTAGTATGTTAATTATAATATGTCTTGGTGTGGTCCTCTTTGGGTCCAACTTGTTTGGGACTCTGTGCTTCTTGGACTTGTATGTCTATTTCCTTTGCCAGATTAGGGAAGTTTTCTTTCATTATTTTTTCCAATAAATTTTCAATTTCTTGCTCTTTCTCTTCTTCTGGCCTCCCTATGCTTCGGATGTTAGCACATTTGGAGATGTCCCAGAAAAACCGTATAATATTCCTTTTATTTTTAATTCTTTTTTCTTCTTGCTCTTCTGGTTGAATGCTTATTTCTTCCTTATGTTCCAAATCATTGATTTGAATCCCGGCTTCATCCCCTCCTTTGTTGGTTCCCTGTAAACTTTTTTCTTATTTCAGTCAGTGTAACTTCTGTTTCTGATTGGATTGTTTTTATGCTGTTGAAATACCCACTGAGTTCCTTGAGCATCTGAATAACCAGTGTTTTGAACTCTACATTTGATAGGTTGGTTGTCTCCATTTTGTTTAGTTCTTTTTCTGGAATTTTGTTCTGTTCTTTCATTTGGGCCATATTTCCTTGTCTCCTCAATTTGGCAGCCTCCCTGTCTTTGATTCTGTGTATTAGGTAGAGCTGCTTTGACTACCTGTCTTAGTAGCATGGCCTATTGTAGAAAAGGCAACTGCAAATTGTGCGGGGTGGAGCCTTCGGTAATTGCCAGGGTGGGGCAACCCATTTCACTGCTTTGTGGCTCTGTGTTGGGGGGAGGCTCAAAGAGGGGCCACTGCCTGCTCTATGGAGATTTGCCCAGCACTTGCCCTGTTCAACTGGCGCCCTTCCAGCTCTTGCCCTGGTGCTGAATCCCAAAGGGAGTTGGTCTGCATATGTTTTAAGTCTGTGCGGGCCCTTTAAGCTGAGTCTCCTGAAAGTCTGGCAGTTTCTTCTGCCATCCCAGCCCCAATTAGTTTTTACAGCCAGAAGTTATGGAGATTTATCTTCCTGGTGTTGGAACCCTGGGCTGTGCTTGGTTGCTCTCAGGGTATCCCTCCCGATTTTTATCCACATGTGAATGTGGGACTGCCCCTTCCACTACGGCTTCCTATCTGCACCACACCAGGTGTCCACCCCACTACCTGTCTGGATGTATGTGACTTCTCTAAGTCCTTGATTGTCGTATTCCATACAGCTGACTTTTCTGAGGGTTCTAGGTGTTATTTGTTTTGAGGTCTAGTTGTAATTCTTTCTTTGGTTGCGTGAGGAGGTGAAGCATTTTTACCTACGCTTCCATCTTGACCAGAAGTCTAGATTCATGGATTTTTTCATTGATTCAGGGTTTCCACTAAAATCATTCTTTTGATGCTAAAAATGTCATAATTTTGGCCACTGAAGAATTTTTTTGCTTCCTAATACAAAAAGATGGCCTACTGTCCTGACTGGTATGGCTCATTGGATTAGACGTTGTCCCACAGACCGAAAGGTTGCTGTTTGATTCCCGGTCAAGGTACTTACCTGGGTTTTGGGCCAGGTCCCCTGTTGGGGGCATGCAAGGAGCAACCAATCAACATTTCTCACATCGATGTTTCTCTTTCTTCCTCACTTCCCCCCTCTCTAAAAATAAATTAAATTTAAAAAAAAGATTTTGTGCTCATCTTGTTACCTCCTTGTGTCAGAGCTAGTCTTTGGTTCTATTTAATATCAATATGAGTCCAGTCATTAGAAAGAAACTACATAGTGATATGTGGGAATGTTTAATGTAAAGAATTATTAATTCTAACAGGAGGTTACAGTATTGAGGGATTGTCTAATAAGAAATAAAGAGTGTTCTAAAGAATATAAACAGATACAATAAAACAAGTAGAGAAAAAAAATACAAGGAGCAGTCATTAATCCCAAGGCTGAGATAGAGTTTCCAAGGAAGGAAGGGGTCACCCCTCTTCAGGGCTGAGATCCAGACCTTGTTGGAGAGGCCATGGCCATGGTATAGAAGTTATTGTGCTGCATGCTGCTGAAAATTTGTCCTCCTAAACTTGCTGGAGACCTTTCCAGGAAGCCCAAAAAATGTTCAGGAAAAGCACATCACCAGAGGCACTCTGCCACAAAATCACATGGCCGTGGGAATACCGGGGACGCTGCTGGCTGCTGTGTACTGTAGACACTGGAGAAGCTGAGTGCTCTAAATCTAGGGATAGAGACGTTGTATAGCAGGTCCTTGAATGGTGTTTCGTTCAACATCATTTTCCTATGAAACTGATCAGATGCCCTAGGAACTTAACTCTTGTTTATATAAATGAGCCAATGTTAACATTGTTTTTATTAATACATTGTTCTGCTGTAGTTCCAAGAACCCATCAACAGCATTAAATGAAGACTTTACTGTACATTTCTTAGAAGCCAGAAGCACTTTGCTACAAAACCATTGCTAGGGAATGGGGAGGGGGTTGAGGGGGCGACTGTGAAGGAAACTGCTGGCCAGTGCACCGCAAGAGCCCGGCACCAGGGAAGCTAGGAGACTGGGGCTGGAGGAGATGCACATTCTGCAGAAGGCTGCCAAGTGACCACACGAACCAGGAAGCAGAACCTGTTTCATTTGGGAGTTTCTCCCCAGTATCCTTTTGAAAAGAAGTTACTGCTACCTGGCTCAGGGAAAAAGACATTGAAAGAGCCTAGATCCATTGTTACAGACACTAAACCTATAACCAGCCCCGGTCTTCTCATTTGACTGACAGCTTCCATACACACTCTTCTACATACATTTAAACTCCTGTGCAGTGGTATAACAGCAAGTAGAAAATATGCAATTTTATTATAGCCCTCATTTATATATTGGTCACAAAGCTATAATTAATATCTATGACTTCTTTCACAGCTCATTTTATCTTTATCTTGCTGCTGTAGACTGAATATTTGTATCCCCCAAAATTCATATGTTGGAAACCAATCTCCAATGTGATGGTATTTGGAGGTAGGGTATTTGGGAGGTGATTAGGTCATGAGGGTAGAGCCTTTGCGAATGGGATTAGTGTACTATTATTAAAGAGACCCCAGAAGGCTTATTTCCTCCTTATGCCATGTGAAAACACAACAAAAAGAAAATTGTTTTTGAACCAGGAAGCAGGTACTTAATCAAACAGCAGATCTGTGAGTATCTTAATCTTGGACTTCCCAGTCCAAATCTGTGAGAAGTGAATTTCGGTTGTGAGCCACCCATTCTTTGGTATTCTATTATAGCAGCCTGAGTGGGTGCGACACCAACCCAGTTAGTTGGGGTTCTTTGCTCTGTGAAGTAACCCAGACCTTCATTCCCAAAGAGTGAGCCCACAATCAGCCTACTGTTTTTGGTTGTTGCTCCTGTAGTTTTCTATTAACATTTACTTTTGGGTATGAAAGTACCAAGAGAATTCCTAGAGAATCCTCTGGATTCCAGATTGAGAACTCCTTGGTTCCATTGTGTAGGAGGTACCAAATTTTTCCTTAGTAATTAGGGTCAGTCAGTCCAGCCTATAGATTAACCCCTTTTTTCTCCTCTTGGTTTGGTGGTATAAGAAGCCCAAATTGTCCAGGTGATAGTCTTATCTTCCAATTCATTGTAATTATTTTTGTGTTTCCTGATATAAGCACTGCTTCCTCGAGGATCAAGATCTCCAAACCAACAGGGCTCAAAATTGCCCATTTCTATACTTCCTTTATTCTGATACAAGGTCCTTGATTAGATATGGTGCCATGATAGTTGGATATGGCATTCTGTGAATCCATGAATGATAGTGCTGATAAGAAGCACTGCAGGTAGGGAAGGCGAATTCATACCCAGAATATACATGTCTTCCTGTGAACACAGATCTCTGCTTCCTCTGTGATAGAAGTCCAACGTACTCAGTCAACCAAGTTTCCACGGGGGAATAGTGCCATAATAGAGACTCCGAGTTGTTTTCTGCTGTTGGCAGATTTGACATTCATCAGTAGTATTAATCAGTTAAGCCTTGGTAATTGGAAGTCCATGTTAACTCCAT